CAAGTACTAAAAAAACTATACTGGTTTCTAGTTACTATTTATTGAAGGCTTCCACATACTGGCATCAACCTAAGTGCTTTACATATGAGAGAAATATAATTATTCATCATCCTAGTTTTATAGATGGATAAATTGAGGCATTCAAAGATCAGGTATGGGCTTTGTTTGGCGGGTCCGGGCTGGGGATTGGAACCCGCCACCTTAGGTGTACGTGGCTGGCGCCTTAGCTGGTTGAGCTATAGGCGCCAAACCTCAATTAAAAATCTTAATACCGAAAGAATACAAGGAGTCGGTCAGCTAACCTGAGCTTAGAACACTCTACAAAAAATGACAAATAAAAAACAGCTCAGTGTCAAGAAAAGCAGTAACAAATGAAAAGAGTAATACACTCAAAAAAAACTTAAAAGAAAGCTAACCTACAAAAACAGCTGAAAAAGAAAATACAATATAACTTCCCAATCTCAAACCTCACATCTTACACAAAATCCACAACCACTACCCTAAAATAATAGCTACATAAGAAGCCAAAAAATAAAATCGCACATCTATTGTCACAATAGTTCAAACGGAAAACCACTCAGACTGCGTTCTCTCCCTCTTACTCCCCCAAAGGGAGAGAAGAACGATCATCAATGGCAAATAGCAATTGCACTAAAGCAACACCAAGAGCTGGCTTCACGCTCAGGATAGGGCATTGGCCCCATATACCAAGGATGGCGGGTTCAAACCTGGCCCCAGCCAAACTGCAACAAAAAAATAGCCCGGCATTGTGGCAGGTGCCTGTAGTCCCAGCTACTCAGGAGATTGAAGCAAGAGAATTGCCTAAGCCCAAGAGCTGGAGGTTGCTATGAGCTGTGACTCCACCGCACTCTCACAAAAAAAAAAAATAAATAAAAAGAAAGATGTGCATATCATTAAGTCATTACACTGTACTGCCGTTCCACATTAAAATTTGTTTTGGGGGGTTTCTAAGAGAGAGAGTTTCACTATGTTGCCCTTGGTAGAGTGCCATGGCATCACAGCTCATAGCAACCTCAAAT